GCCCCGCCCGCCCGCGCCCGCGCCGCCGCGCGCCCGCGCCGCCCCCGCCCGCCCGCCCGCCCGCCCGCCCGCTCGCCGCCCGCCCGCCCGCCCGCCCGCCCGCCCGCCCGCCCGCCCGCCCCGCCCGCCGCCCGCCGCCCGCCCCGGCCCGGCCCGGCCCGGCCCGGCCCGGCCCGGCCCGGCCCGGCCGGCGCGGCGGCGCGCGGCGCGCGGCGGCGCGGGCGCGCGGGCGGGCGCGCGGCGCGCGGGCGCGGGCGGCGGCGGCGGGCGGGGGCGGGCGGCGGGGGCGGGCGGCGGGCGGGCGCGGGCGGGCGCGAGCGCGGCGGGCGCGAGCGCGCGGGCGCGGCGGCGGGGCGGCGCGGCGCGCGCGGCGCGCGCGCGGCGCGCGCGCGCGCCGCCCGCGCGGCGCGGGCGGACGGGCGGCCGGGCGGGTGGACGGGCGCGGCGCGTGTGTGGCGCGCGGCGGCGGGCGGCGGGCGCGGCGGGCCGCGCGCGCGCGCGCGTGTTCGTGCGCGCGTGCGTGCGTGCGTGCGTGCGTGCGTGCGTGCGTGGGTGGGTGGGTGGGTGGGTGGGTGGGTTTGGGTGGGTTTGGGTGGGTTTGGGTGGGTTTGGGTGGGGTGGGTGGGTGGGTGCGTGGGTGGGTGGGTGGGTGGGTGGGTGGCTGGGTGGGTGGGTGTCTGTGTGTGTGTGTGTTCGTCGGTTGCTTAGTTAGAAAGTACGACTGGGGAAGACATGACACAACTACAAACCAGAAGGTTAAAACTAATGAAAACATCTTACAATAAAGCATTGTAAGATTTATGTCTCAAACCTAGTTTGTTCTTTCTTTTTATCTTCAAACCAATTGAGGGGGTTTGGTTTATGTTTGTTTGTTGGTTGTTTTGAGTGGATTTGTGAAAGAACTGCAGCTAGCACTTCCACAGCTGGCAGACCCATTAGCAGCACCCATCTCAGGACTGGCCACACAAAGCGGAGTATAGTATAGACACATGACGGGCCAGACGGCAAGCGGCTTACACTTGGAGACAACGCCAGACTGGTAGAGGACGAATGAGCAACACAGCCACCAAACATATCAGACAAGCTGTGGACAGGCTGGACAAGCTTTGTTCCCAACACAACTCGGGTCACAACGTCACACGCCTTCCAAACAGGAGTTGGTGTCCGATACGCGTCCAAGCCAGCGGCAGAGAGTGAGAAAGAGTGAGAGAGTGAGAAAGAGTGAGAGAGTGAGAGAGAGTGAGAGAGTGAGAGAGAGTGAGAGAGTGACAGTCAGACAGTGAGAGAGAGAAAGAGAGAGAGAGAGAGAGAGAGAGAGAGAGAGAGAGAGAGAGAGAGAGAGGCGAGGAGGAGGAGGAGGAGGAGGAGGAGCGTCCGGCACGGACAGCGACAGTAGGAATCCCGCACAAAGATGCGGGGGAGAAAAAAACACTCTTCCGAAGGCATGTGCAGCACCCAGAACAAGAACTCGTGACATCAACAAACATCATTGTGTCATTTCCAACACAAGTTTGACATGATGCACCTCCTAAACTTTGATACGCTTCTCTGTACCTCGAGACATGTGCATGGCCACCGCGTACACTCCTGATTGTATCTTGCGTTCGTATCCTGGCAGGAGGAAAAAGAGAAAACAATGAGGAGGTTCTGGAGGATGATCTGGAGGGATGCGTCAGGAAGGAAGAAGGAAAGAAGGATAGGGGAGGGAACTACAGTAGGCACAAAGGAAGCACGGGAACAAATGGCACCGTGCGGAGTTGACTATGTGACTATGTGCTGCATTACCTTTCTCTGCCGAGCATCCCAAACGGAGCAATTGAAGCTCTTAGCCCCAGCATCAGGAGAATCCCCATACCAGACCAGGAGAAGGGGCTCACCAAGTAGACAAAGCGAGCGCAGAAGTGAACAGCTTCCCAGCCCAGCTGGAACCCCAGCACCGAATAGGAGTACCTCACTGAAGAAAAGACAACGTTGTGCACAAAGCGAGCTGTGACAAAACTGAGCTGTGAAGGTTCTTCATATTTCTTCGTGCAGATAGCAGCACACATAACACATTTCAGATGTAACCTGCCATAAAAAGAAATATACCGCATGATGTCCAAGCAGCGCATAAACCGAATCGCAGAGATGGTAGCTGAAACTTGGCGTTGCTGAGTCTCGCCGCGCAGCCAGCGCCGACCGGTAGAAGCTGTGGTTTATGAGGATCTCCAGGAGCATTGCCGTCTTCCACAGAAGCCACCAAGAGACCATGACAACGCTCAAGGCATTCATTGTTCGAGGTGTAAGGGGTTCCAGCAGAAGGGCCGGCCAGCACGGGGCAGTTGCAGAAAGGAATATGTGGATGGCGAGCCAGAATGGAATGTTCAGGAGCAGCGTTGGCAGGATGAAGACAAGGCCGGCGCCCAGGATCAGCTGCAGCTGGCTGGTCATGTAACCCCGCAAAGTCATCAAGGACAGCCGCAGGGATGTGTGCCTGTACAATCGTCCCCGGGTCTTCACAAGGACACAAATGCCGTTCAAGGAGGCGAAGAGCAGCGTGGAGGAGAAGTAAGGCAAGGCCAACAAGCTGAGGATGAAAGTGCACAGAGCGAGGTTGGCCAGGAGCCACCAGGCTGCTGTTGGGACCTACAGGGAAGTCGGGAAGTCAAAACTCACACGCCAGGCCGCCAGGCCGCCAGGCCAGGCCCTGCGCACCTGCTCCATGTCGGCGCGGAAAGCCTTGAGAGTTCTCTTGTCGCTCTCCGCCAGCTCCCGCACGTCCCGGGCCGCGGCAGTGATCGAACTCCTTTCGCTCCTTTCGCTGCTTGTGTTTGGGCTGGGAATGTTGGGATCCCAGAAAACCACTTCTGGCTAGTACATGTCCTGGAGATGCCCTTGCTAAGAGTGGCAGCCCGAACTAAACCATGCGCCATGTGGTTTTCTTTAAGGGGACCCCCAGGTTCATTCCCTCATTCCCTACAGAGCACCAGAAAGAAAATGGCTTGCTTAGCGAAACGGCCGTAAGCGTCCAGTCTAGAAATCGACGGAACTGACCCAAAGTTGTTTCATTGTGCATGATTTGAAGTTGGAGCGGCAAAAACAGACATAACATGCAGCCTAGCAACAACAGAGCGTGTCTCAACTAAACATAGGCACAGCTGTATGCGTGACCAACATGGCTGGGCCCTTGTGAACTACGGGAGCCCAGCATTTGGGAGAATCAGAAGTGGTGGGATTTGAAGACTTCGCTGCCCCGCCGTACCCCGAGCAACACTTTGCCACACTGCCGCGTTCTGCCCGCCTGTCCTGGCCAATCACGCTCACGCATGCCCATGTTGGCTTTGTTAAAATTCTGAGTGAAACTAACTCCGAAGTGAACATGACACAACAATGCCTCATTCAATCGATTTTGGCAGGTTGTCCAGAAAACCTTGACAATCCTGCACATTCCGAAAAGAGCTGAAGTGCAAAAAAAAGACCTATGGTACGCAGGGCACCCAAACTGCCAGGGCCAGCATAAAGTGTCGAGTCGAGCAGTTTCGAGCGATTCCAGCATATCCAGGTCAGCAAAATTTCGAGCACCTTTCACCTGCCGTCATACATAAACAAAAGGAATTCGAGCACCCTCGTATGGAAACAAAGAAAAGGTGAAGCCAACTCCTGCGCCCAACCTCAAACAGCCGTTTGGTTTCGAGCGATTCGAGCATTCCGACCAGGCATGCCCCACGGCCATCTGCGAGCACATGCAGCTGTTTTCAACATAAGTACTTGTTGTGGAGCTCTGCGACTCTCTGCGGCTCTCTGCCTCTCCGCTCTCTGTGCCTCTCTGTGCCTCTCTGTGCCTCTCTGTGCCTCTCTGTGCCTCTCTGTGCCTCTCTGTGCCTCTCTGTGCCTCTCTGTGCCTCTCTTGCTAGCTCTCTCCTGCCCTACCCACAACAATAACTACAAGCAAGACAACGCCGCGCGCAACGTCCCACCACGCAATATTTCAGATAGAAACACCTTTCACCGCGCCTCAATCCTCCTGAATTCTCCCAGGCGTCGCAGGCGTCGCAGGCGTCGTGCCCGCTCCGCCACCACAAATATCAAGACTTTGCAGTGCGGTCACAGCCGCTTGCATTCTTGGCATTCTTGCCCAACCCCTAGGACCCAAGGCTTCCTTTCGCTCCTCTCGGGGCCGTCGGTGTCGGCGCCTGCAAAGCGTCGCAGCCGTAGCGACAGGGAGACGCAGAAGTGCACAGAGGCGGCAAGCATACGGGCCTCGGTCTGTGCAGTCGGCCTGTGTTTGCTCGGCTTTACACTCCCTTAAATTCACTGTGGTCTACTTGGCGCTTGCTTTGATTGCTTTGTTTGCTTTGCCTACAGCAGAGGGGGTCTTGCCAAGGTCTGTTGCAAGGTCTGAAAGCCTTATGACTTTACGGTCTTCGTAGTCCTGAATTCATGTTGAGGCCAGCTTGTTTGGGATGCTAACGCACTGCCGTGGAAGCTGCTCTGGCCAACAGGGACATCAGAAACGCTGGATTTTCGTCGAAATGGCATCTGCAAGCTCAACAAGCCATCAGCTCTCGTGTATCTTCGCTGAGGGGATTGCCGGTACCTCACGTTGGTGAAGGGGAGTCGCAAGAGGCATGCAGTCCACTGAAGTGCTGCCATGTGCTGACCAAGAAGCCGCCTCGAACACCATGCTTCCAGGCACGATGCTTCCGAGACCGCGGCGGGCCACAACAGCTTCGGCTTCGATAGAAACTTCAACACTCCCTTTACCCCTGGCCGTGCTCTCCGTGCTCATCCGTGTGTCCGTGTGTCGCAACACTGCGTCGCAGCACTCTGCAGCTTCACCTGCCTCCAACTGACCCCCGAGTCAAAACCGAAGGAAAGAACCACACCGATTGATTTCATGCAGCGCCCCTTGTCTTCAAGCAACTCTCTCTTTCGCCCTCCCCTCTCTCTCGATACGCTTTCTTTCTTTCTTTCTTTCTTTCTTTCTCTCTCTCTCTCTCTCTCTCTCTCTCTTTTTTTTCGTTATAATCTGCAGACTCCAACTTCCGCACATCAGGTTACATGGTTCCACCATGTTCCAGTGCGCTCCACTGAGGAGGCAGGGTGCCGGGAGGCTCCGAGCCCTTAAGAGTTCTCAAGAGTTCAACAACAGAAGTTGAAGCGTCAATCTCATGCAGTTTAACATTCTCCAGAAGGAGCGACCGAGGCCCGCAAAGCCGATGGCTTGCCTCTTTGCTGCACATCTCTACAAATCTCTGCAGATGTCCAGAATGAGCGAGGACAAGGCGCCCACTGAGGCAATCATCGTTCATTGGGCGTTCAATGGCGCCCAGCTTGCGCGAAGCAGTCGTGACAGGAGTCCATGGAGACATTGTGTTGGAGCAAGTCTTGTCTGAAGATCCTTAGGGCTTCCTGGTAAACGATGCGGTCGATTTCATCTTGGAAGCCCTCCAAGGGAGCAGTGTCGTAGAAGTCCTCCGCTTGTTTTCCGGGAAAGGAGCTCCGGGTGTTGCTGAAATCCAAAGCGTGGCAGGGGCCGCCAAAGATCTTGCGGAAGAGGCAGATGGACAAATCCCACTCCTCCGTGATCCCGACAAACGCGAAGCCTTGAAGCCTCCGCACAGCCTCCTCAGCCATCTCCACCGTTCGCTCCGGGATGTCCAATAGGCCGGGGAGCCAGTGATGGCCACCTCCATAGTTCAGGAGCCCCTCTCCCACCAGCTGGTACGCCACGGTCCCCGCGAAGTAGCGGGCAAAGATCGGCGCAGGCGGCTTCGTGCTGTTCTGGTGCGTGCAATCGGTGCCCAGAACCATCCATGTGCGTGCTTCGTCATGATACGCAGAGAGGATTCGCTGCTCGGGCTGGCGAAACAAGCCCACCATGTGACCTTCAAGCTCTGGGTACCTGCTGCCAATGCACTCATGTGGACTGGCCTGGCAGCGCACGCTTGCAGGGTCACAGAGGTCCGGGCAGGCGTTAAAGAAATTGGTGGCGAAACGGCAACCAAAACTGTCCTCGTCAATAGATACAGTAAGAGGAACTCCTGGGCAAAAGCCTGGTGTGTGGACCAAGACGTTGAGGAAGCTGCTCCCAGCCTTCGGAAAGTGGACCCATGTCCTTGAGAAAGACAGCGTGCTTGGGTCAGGCACGGTCAGCCTATCGTGATTCTCAACATACTTTCCAGTTATCACGAAGATGGCTACCAAACTGAAACAACAGCCACGGCTCAAGGGCAAGGCCTCCGGGTGCCGAGCGCCAGCGAGAAGTCTCAGCCTCGCCACAGGATGGCACTGAAGTCAAGCAACTATATTTTTGTGTTGTAGGCTATAAAGTATTATGGTGTGTGCTATCACGCCCTTCCTTTTGTGGCTTCTCCGCGTCTCTTCTCTGGAGCGATCCCCCCTTTTCGATCTCTCAAGCTAAAGCAAGGGGCTGTTACAGACAAGCCACTGTTGCTGGAGCAGTTCCAGATGTTGCAGACCAGGTTCACTAGTGTCACCAACGTCACACGCCCAGAGAGGCAGAACAGCCAAAAGGCCAGAGGCCAGGAGCCGAGGGGCCCCAGCCACGGCCATGACCCATAAACACTTCTCAAATCTTCCCGGTTCGGTTTGAGCCAGAGCTATGCCGTCTCTTCAGCCCACAGCGGGGAGAGCCCACGGGGCGATACCTTCTTGACTGGAATCATGTCCGCCCTTGTTTTCGCGCCCTCCCCCCACCTCCCCACCTTCCTCGCCGCCTCTTCCCCGCCCTGCCTTTGCCTTGTCAGACGCTACTTCCAACTTGGTTGGCCTGAGCCCAAGACCCGATAAGCGCTTAGGTGTTTATGCGCCGGTGCACCTTGAGATGCTCTGTTGAGATGCTCTGTTGAGATGCGCTCCGGTGCTCTTCAAATCTCTTAAGGCTGCCCTGCGGCTCCACGGAAACAAAGGCATGCGCCGCTCCAACAACAAGAACAAATGAATCAAGGCCTTCGCTGTTGGTTTTGAAACTGGGAAGCGCGAACGTGCTAGTAGTAGTAGTAGTAGTGGTAGTAGTAGTAGCAGTAGCACTAGCACTAGAACTCGTGCTAGCAGGCGCGCCTCATCATACACCTGTTGACCACGGTCCCAGAACAACATACAACGTTTTCGGAGTCCGAAACCAAAAATAAGTCTACTTGAGGCCAGAGACGGGTGGGCGAAAGCTAGGCTCCGCCCTTTTTCAACTCAATGCCGCAGTAACATCGATGTTGTCCCGTAGAGTGTGTCAGTGCGTGACGTCTCTTTGGAACAGCAAATCTGGCTTCTTTGGAACAGCAAATCTGGCTGAAAACAGCTCTGGCAAGCCGTGGCTAAACCGATGCCAGAGTGCCAGATAGAAGGAACTGCACATTTTGTAGAACTTTGGCAAGCCATAAGTGAGACGGATACCAGGGTGCATGTGGAACCCAGACAAACGCAGACATGTCTTGCTGGAACCGCAAGTATGCAGTTAACAAGTCGTGAGTAGGACAGATACCAAGGACGCCGAGCGAAAAGGGGCCGCAGAAACATCGACATGTTCTTTGTGTCTTTCTGAACATGCTTGTCGGGCAGAAAACTGTCGTAGATGCGACCAACACGAGTCGCGAAACGTAGACATTCCCACCTGGAACTGCAACGGTGTCCCCTCATTGTTATCCAACACCGTCCCGGACTCGATCAAGAAAACGAGCGCATCAAAAAAGAGGCTGCAGAAGCGTGGACGTTTCTACAGGGTCTGCTAGCAGCAAAAAACAGCACCGAATTTCTCCGGGAACATGTCTTTCACACAGAGCCTACAGCCGTACAAAGCTGCGCGCTCCAAGAACCCCGCAATCGAAAGAAACTCTTCCGAAACCAGACTGCGGCGGTCCAAGGTCAAGCCTGCCCTGGGGGAGATGCAGAAACACGCACGTGCGCAGCGAGTCTATCAAGAATTGCAATTGGGCAGGAAAGCCCTCTGGCACACCTTCAAAAAAAGGGACTACCGAGCGTCGACGCTCTGTCAACTGCAACTGTGGCAGACATGAAACGACGCCAGTATCAGGTTTGCAGCATATGAGCTGCACCAAATCTCTCAGCATTTTCGCGGAGAGCCGCGCAAACCGGTCTTGACCAGAGCGACAGATCAACGTCTCTACCAAGCCTTGGAAAGTGGGCTGCAGGAACGTCAGCATTCGACAGGGTCCGCCAGCAGCAAAATATGCGCCGAGCCCCCCCCGGAACATGCTTTCCACACAGAGCCTACAACCGTACAAAGCCACGCTGCACACCCCCGCGAGCTGAAAAGAAACTCTAAAGGCGGGCTGCAAGCGTCCGTGCCCCCCGTCTGCCCAACACTGAGAAGTATCTTGGAACAGCGCCTTGCGCCGGGATGGCGATGTTCTGGTAGGAGGGGTGTGCGATGTGGAACAGACACGTTGACAGATAGATAGCTAGATAGCTAGATAGATAGATAGATAGATAGGCTAGATTGACACACATCCAGATAGATAGCTAGGTAGATAGCTAGATAGACAGATAGAAAAAGAGAAAGAAAAAGAGCAAAATAATGGGAACTACGATCTTCGCAAAGCATTTGAAGGAACGAGCGGAGAAAGAGAAAGGGTCAAGAGAAAACAAAAGGAAAGAGAAGAGAGTGAGAAAGCGAAAGAGGGAAAAAAAACAGACAGAATGAAGAGAAAGACAAACAGCAAGACAAAGACAGAGAAAAAACACAATGGAAAGAGAGACAAACAACAAGAAATTGGAAAATAGAGCGGGAGAAAGTTGAAACTTCCGCCAACCGGCTTCGCCGGCTCTAGCATCTAACGGTGATGATGATGATGACCATGAGGAAGATGATGAAAAGTATCATCCGCTGCATCTCCACCCCTGCATCTCCAACAGTGGATGATGATGACGACGAGGATGATGACAACGGTGGAGATCAGAAGAAATTTGTGTCTGTTTTGTGTTTGATTTATATGTTGATCTCCACGCAACCATGATTTTGGCTCAAGGCCCCTCTTTGATGTCACTGTACAGAACCATACACGTACAGGAAGAGAAAAGGGATTACAACAGACCATTACCACTGTTCCCACAGGACAAGGCACCTCCAGTTTCGGACGTCACCCCCCCCCCCAGTTCCATTGCGCGCAAACTTCCTAATCGTGAATGCAGCGCTTCGAAGTGAGGGAATCTCACTCAAATTGCACTCAACGCTCGCCGAAGTGCAATGCGCAACCGACGCCAAAACCGGGAGAACAAACACGCAGAAAACCAAAACACACGTCGCGCCTTGGCGATGTGGGCCTGGTATCCGACGGTTGTCTGAAATTCCTTGTTCCGGAAACCGCCATCTTTGCGAGGAGAAAAATAAACTTTCGCGGACCCCATCGTGGAACTTTCGCGCGGCAGTTCTCAGAACAGTCGTCACAAGGGTAGTACACAAAGTACACTTTCGCAGCCCCAGATCGAAAGCCGCAGCTTTTCAATATGAGAGTAGTACAAAAAGTAAACTTCCGCAGCCTGGCTGAATGCCGCAACTTTTCAATACGAAAGTAGTACGCGAACTAAACTTCCGCAGCCTCGAAAGTCAACACCTTTCAATACGAAAGTAGTACACCAAGTAAACTTCCGCAGCCCCAGCTCGAAAGCCGCAACCTTTCAAGTTCCAAAGTAGCACGCGAAGCGCGCCTCCGCAGCTCCAGCTCATAAGCCGTGAGCTACACGGGAAAGGACCCGTTGGTTTCAACTGGCTGGGAGGTCCGCCGACTTTCGCGAAACTTTCGCGGCACTCAACTTGACCCGCAAGCTTCAAAACTCCCACAAGCTGGTTTCTGTTGGCTGGGGGGTGCTTTTGCAGCGGCGTGTTCTTGCGGCGACCCTCAGGCTGCAGATTCCCCAACCAACTTTAGTCTGCGGGCATTCTACGCGCACTGTCGGTACATGCACATGGTTCATCACTCCAGCTTCCTGTTAGCAAGCCCCACCCTTGCACAAAACTTTTGCGAACAAAAAAACTTTCGCGACCCCCTTCGCGGAACTTTCGCGGAGGTCATCATGATTCATAACCCAATGCAAGGACCTTTCACACGACTCTCTGAACCTGCCGACACGTCCGTCGCGCAACGGCGGCAACTTGGCGGCCATTGAAACATTGATTGCTTCCTCAGTGCTTCCGCTTGGCCGGCCTGTGCCGGCATAGGCCTCTACGCAGACTGCATCTGATGATACCTCCCTTTTTGTCTGAGAAACCTGCTCCACTGCCACACAATCTTACTGAACTGGCAATTGTTCATGTTTTTAAAGTTTTTTTGCATTTTGCATTTTTCCAGTTTTTCGTGGGCATTTGTTGCTCGATTTATGTCGCTGAGGTTGACTTTAGAGAAGTTAATTGTTTGGGTTTCAAGTTGTTTTTCGGTGGGAGGGGGGGGGGCAGGACGGGACAATAATAATGCGCCTGTGTGCCCATTGTTGCGAAAGGCTTGATTCCTGCAGCATCGTTTTTCGCTGGCTGCTCGCCTTCGGAGAGTCGGAACGGAATTATCTTTTTTCATCTCGTTTGTTGTTTGAGGGCTCGGTGGCTTGCCCCGCCCCACCCCCCCTCCTCCCAAGCCCATCAATGATTGACGTTGTTGCGTTTGCTTGCGCGGGTTCGGTGGCTTGCCCCGCCCGGCCCCCTTAAACAAATCCTTTCGCTGGTTTTGGCGGCATGCCCCATCCAGCAATAGGGTGCCCAGCTCCCCCTTCCTCCAAAGTGAAGCCCGCCAACGATTGAAGTTGTTGCATGTGCTTGTGCTTGCGGGTTCGGTGGCTTGCCCCGCCCGGCCCCTACGCCTTCTGCAAGCAAGAGGGAAGGCGTCTCAGGGCAAAAGAGTCTCACAGGAAAGCTGTGAGCAGACGAACGGACATGCGTGATGCGACGCAAGAGCCGCCCAAGTCGTATGTTTCTTGCGGATCATATTTTTCAAGCGGATAGATGTGTTTTTGCAGAGCAGATATGCTTGTTGCGGTGCGCGCTTGCGGGTTCGGTGGCTTGCCCCGCCCGGCGCCCACAATGACTTACACTGGTTTCGGTGGCATGCCCCATCCAGCAGTAAGGATTCAGAAGGGGCGCTTCTGAAACCGCCCTTTTCCGGAAGCGTTCTCAGAAAGGCTTTCGTGTGTAAGGGCGACTCGAAAAACAAGACTTTCGTGGGAAGTCTGCCTGCAAGTCTTGTTTGGTTTTTTGAAATTTCGGCTCTGACATGTTGAACTGCCCGTAGAAGGGAAATAGCGTGAGAAAGTCTACCAATGGCACGGGGGCCTGCTCGCAAAAAGGCAGCGCAGTGAAGCAGCTTTGCTCCTACAAGAAGTGCAGAGCCAAGAAGGACGTGAAGAACAAGTGCCACACAGCTCGCCGTGAGGAAGTGGATCTTGAGCAATGTCGGCCCTTAAGAAGCCACTGTCAGACTGTAAAGTTCTGTGGTCAACCGCATTTAGACGCCTGCCTATCAAAAAGGAAAAAAGCTCCACCCGTTGGAAGGGAAGCTCTGGACACGCACCAACTGGCCAGTCTTTTTCAATCCTTGGTGGAGCTAGGCCGTGGCCACAAACAAAAAAAGGGTCCTGCGGGCTGCGTGGGGCTTGTCTTTGTTTACAAACTTCAGGTTCGGAAAGACTTGCAGCGTGCCCGTGTCCATGTCTGCCAAATCGCAGTATAGCTGAGCAAAAGCTTCGTGCTCCCAAGAGCTGTCCCGCCAGCTGCTCGTCGGCTGCTGCGTCGGCGTTGAACACCTCAACGCGCCCAAGCCACTGCTGAAACGCAACTGCGTCCAGCTGGGGACAAGCCACCTGAGCTGGCACAGTTGGCTTCAGGCAGTCCTTGAATTCTTCTGCACCAGCAAAAGGGGTGGCCAAATCATGAAGCAAATGCACAACAGCCGTGGCAACTCCGACCGCAGAGAAGTCATGAAGCTTCCGTGCGCCCAGAAGCATGTGCTGAGGACGCAAATCCTCTGCGCACGTTTGCCCTCGCAAGACAAGGATCGTCTTTGAGCAGTCCGAGTGCACAGTGACGCAGGAGGCAGCGTTGAGCGTTTGTCGCGTGCGAGCCCGCAGCGACTCGGCCAAGCAAAACTTGAGCTTCTGGGCTCGGCGGCGAAGGATCTTGCCGCCGGGCCAGGCAATCCCATCATCACCGCCATCTTTTCCCTTGCGTGTAGCTCGCAGAACTGCGATGAACTCTTCGAGAGATGGGGCCATCAGACGCAGTCGGATGTCTTCATTTGATGCTGCGGCCTGGTGCCTTTTGGTTTTCTCATGGTCTCGGAAGTGGCTGACCTGCAATGAAGCAATGGTTCGAAACTCCGCTGACACATGCCCAGCAGCTTTGCAGGCAGCACAGCTGACGGAGAAGTCGCCTGTGTTTCACTGCACAGCCTCCAGCCACGGGAACTGCTCGGTCCACCGCCTGCCAAAGCGGGCCCATGCGCTCTGCGCGGACATTCCGGGCAGCTTGGGCCAGAGCTCTGTCCAGAGGGCGCTTGCGGAAAAAACTTAAGTTTACGCACGAAGTTCCTGTCCAGAGGGCCTCTGGAATCCGAAGGTCTGCCCAGCCTGGCTTTGCTCACCGGCGGCGCTTTTCCTCCGGCCTTGCCCCTCGTCAAGTTGCTGTCACCGCTGTCCGCCTGCGTCGTGGTTGGCAGGCACGGCGAGACCACTTGGTTTCAGACTGGTTTGAAGTATTAAAGCAGCAGAATAAACACTGCGTCTGTGCATAAAACAAAGCACTGGCCTGCAGAGCGTCGCGCAGCTCTGCAGCGTAATACTGACTGCTTGGGCTCTGCATGTGTGCCCACAAGCGGCCGAAGAGGTACTGCCGCACGACATTCATGTGAAGACTATTTTCCAGGCTGAGGTAAGCCGCCAACGCCGTCGCTGCTGCGGCTGCCTTGCTCGTCAGTCTGACCCTTGCCCGCCGCGCTGCCGCCTTTGAGGCCCTTCCCGCCAATTGGCACAACCACGCCCATGAAGAAACCTACGATGACGCCAGCAACGAGCGCACAATGAGCCGCCAAGCGAACACAGCGCGTCTTGACTTGCCAAGCACGGATGGTTTTGCAAGCGGGCCGCAGTGACCAAACCTTGGAAGCAATAGAAAACAACTGCCTTCTGAGCTGTCGCCATTGAGTCTGTGTAACCGCACAATCAGGAAAACTTTAAGGTCACTAGTCCAGATTTGGCGTGGGGCCAGGCCCCACTAAAAGTCTGGTAGTAACAATGCGCGCGCCCGCAGCTTGCAGGCAGACTTCCCACGAAAGTCTTGTTTTTCGAGCCGCCCTTACACACGAAAGCCTTTCTGAGAACGCTTCCGGAAAAGGGCGGTTTCAGAAGCGCCCCTTCTGAATCCTTACTGCTGGATGGGGCATGCCACCGAAACCAGCGTAAGTCATTGTGGGCGCCGGGCGGGGCAAGCCACCGAACCCGCAAGCGCACACCGCAACAAGCATATCTGCTCTGCAAAAACACATCTATCCGCTTGAAAAATATGATCCGCAAGAAACATACGACTTGGGCGGCTCTTGCGTCGCATCACGCATGTCCGTTCGTCAGCTCACAGCTTTCCTGTGAGACTCTTTTGCCCTGAGACGCCTTCCCTCTTGCTTGCAGAAGGCGTAGGGGCCGGGCGGGGCAAGCCACCGAACCCGCAAGCACAAGCACATGCAACAACTTCAATCGTTGGCGGGCTTCACTTTGGAGGAAGGGGGAGCTGGGCACCCTATTGCTGGATGGGGCATGCCGCCAAAACCAGCGAAAGGATTTGTTTAAGGGGGCCGGGCGGGGCAAGCCACCGAACCCGCGCAAGCAAACGCAACAACGTCAATCATTGATGGGCTTGGGAGGAGGGGGGGTGGGGCGGGGCAAGCCACCGAGCCCTCAAACAACAAACGAGATGAAAAAAGATAATTCCGTTCCGACTCTCCGAAGGCGCAGCCAGCGAAAAACGATGCTGCAGGAGTCAAGCCTTTCGCAACAATGGGCACACAGGCGCATTATTATTGTCCCGTCCTGCCCCCCCCCCTTCCCACCGAAAAACAACTTGAAACCCAAACACTTAACTTCTCTAAAGTCAACCTCAGCGACATAAATCGAGCAACAAATGCCCGCGAAAAACTGGAAAAATGCAAAAAGCAAAAAACTTTAAAAACATGAACAATTGCCAGTTCAGCTTAACCGCGTCCCGTGCTGACGGGGTTGCACTTGTGTCCCTGGGTCTATCTCAGAACTGGTGTGGAAGAGTCAAACAGTGATGTCAGAAGATACGCGGACTGTGTCCTGACAATCCCCTCTATCTATGGGGTGTATACTGTAAGCACAGGCAGCAATGGCTTTTTTGCACACGCTGTCTAGCATGAACGCAAGAAAGGGCTTAACCCAAAATGTTACATACAGGTCAAGTCACTGGAAAAGGCAGAACTCCACACACACCCACACAAACACAACTTCCCCCTACATTGTGCACATGGGCTGCGGCCTTTTATCTGCTGCCTCTGCCAGCACAATGTCTCCATATCTCTCCTTCGAGAAGACATGCACAAAAACACATTGGTGACCAAGAGTTTCAAGAGGTCGAGGCACGCAAGCACGTACGGCTTGTGCTCGTCATAGAGTGAGTCTTGTGCTCGCAAAATCATGGCGAGGGTGCTGGCATGGCAATGCTAAGAGCACTCAAAAGGTCCCAAATGATATCCTGAGCATCCTCCAAGCCGACTGACAGCCGTAACAAGTTGTCGGCGATGCCACACTTCAGGTCTGCCCCTGTCTCGGCAAACATAGTGTATGGCCTCAGCAATGGGTGTGGCAGACGTCTCAAAACACTGCAGTATTTCCCCCTCTCCCTACACCCTCCTTCCTCTCTTCCCCTCTTCTTCGCTTCTGGGGTCTGCGCAGGTCGATGATGGTGCAGCAGTCCCCGAAGGAGCCCACCAGCTTGATCAGCAAAAGGTTTTCCAGAAACCTCACAGCATCCTCCTGTCACGTCGAAAGTAAGTCAAGTCTCCCGGCGACCGCAGTGATTACCGCAGGAGTACCACGCTGATTGCCAAAAGATTACGAGAGGATTGTCACAGGCCTAACAGTCCAAGCCGCGCCTTCTGGCCGTCGAGGTAGAAAGCGATCATGTTGCCGGGACAGGCTCTCATCTCTGCGTTCCTTTCAAACCCCAAAAAATGGACTTTGCTAATCCTGTGATCGGCTTGCAACGCGCTGGCAACGCTCCGAGCGTTGCTGGACATCACGTCCATGCGCGCTTCCTTGGGAAGCGAATTGTGAAGAAATTGCTGAGGAATTGAGAGGGCAAACCGGGGCTGCTCTGCACACCCCTCCCCTCCGAGCCCCTCTGTTGGCCTGCTTACTATTCCCGCACCCCCCAAACTCTTCTCCAAGTCTTCTCCCTTTCGCCTTTAAAGCCGAGGACTTCGAGAGGACGCGTTTGGCCTTGGAGGACGCGTTCTGCCACGCAGACGTCTTCAGGCTCGTACCCTGAAGTGGCCATAGCGGCGTCCAAGGAAACCAAGGACCCAAAGTCCTGATTACAGCTCCAAAGCCTCAAGAAAGGCAGTTCGTGGACCGGTGTGTGATGGCGCATTACGCCAGATGTGCCACCCATTCTGTGAGCCCTAAGCTCATAAGTTAGTTAACCCTCCCCCCGTATCAGTTAGACAGGGGCTTTCCCGTCCGCATTTTGCCATCCGGTCCTAGGGTCCCCCCCACACTTTTGGGCACAATTCAAATACGCCCACTAAAACAGCCTATTTTCAACATTCAAATTCAATCACCCAACCAATCCAACTCCAAAAACACATATTCACATACCCATCTTCATTTCTTACCCCATCTCAACATCACCCTTACACTCATTCAATAACAACAATCATAACTACATACCACCTCAACAAATCCCACCAAAAAAATCCAAGCTACATACCAACATTTTTTCATTCCCAAGATCGCAACCCCAAGATCTCAATAATTTCTCCCTTGATCCAAACTGCAACCCTTTCCCATTTCCAACAAATACGAACAGTCTAAAAAAGAACCCTATGTTCGCCCCGAAAAATGGTTAACCAATGGAAAAGGGAGAATTAAAACCGTTAACCCAAATCTTGAAAACAATCCCAGTAAAATATGGATGGCAAAATGCGGATGGGAAAGGCCTATGTAGGAAAGCACCCCCACGGCTTATACGGGAAAATTACACTATAATTATAACATATAAATGTTTACATGTTATAATTATACTATGGTTTTAATCATCATCATCTCTGTATTCAGGTAATTTAAATTCTGGACATTCTACAAATTTAGTGTTATGTGCAAAACACCTTCTACAATATTCATTGTCGTAGATGTATTTAACAACTTTATTAAAGTCTCTGATCATATTATTGTAATTAAATTTTGTTCCTTCGCAACAATAAGCTATTCTGTTAACATCGTTATTGTAAATGCCTCTATATATGTTTCTTAATATGCTTATCTTGTCAAACGAGAACTTGAATTCTACTTTCAAGTCTTGTTTGTCAGGAAAACTATGACAGCGAGAGAATAAGTAAATATATTCATTTATGGCTGTTCCTCTTTCGGGGTTTTTAACTGCCATTTTTCTCCTTCTCGCTGACTTGCACCCCTCGCATTCTTCATAGTTAAATTTACACATGTTATTGATGATATTACTTGACAAGTTTAACTTACTTAACTCAACTTTCTCGTCATTTAACTTACAATAGCAGTCAGCAACACGTTTATCAAATATGTTTAGCATGTCATTTGTATAGATCTTATTTAAGAATTCATTCATAATTTCCTCTTGTTCAATCTCAGTAAATACTACCGTTCTGATGCTAACATATATAGGTAATATTTCTTTAAATACATTTTCAGAGAAATTATAATTTATAGAAATATTTTTACTACTATAATTACAACATATAAGATCTTACATGTTGTAAGTATAGCAAAACTATGGTATCAAAGGCTTTAATCTATGTATTTCCATGGGTTGTATTCGTTTCTTCTGTTCCTTCCTTAACTCTTTTGTTGCTTTTACTTTGTCTCTGCATTCCTTACATGTTTTGTAAAATATCTCTTCCATTTTAATTCTATCATACATTTTGTGAAAATCCTTTCTTGGCTTTGCTTCGTCGCATTTACTGCAAGGATAAACCATTGTGTATCCTGTTTCTTCTTCGTCATCTGTAGAACTCATAATATTAGTTATGCCAATATGTCTTTAAACGGATTTTCAGAGAAAAATGTTTTCAATCAAGAATAAATCCCTGTATCTTCATCATAGTCGATTTGATAAAATGTCATAGTTGAAGCCTTCGGTTCTTTAATTTCTTTGTTATTAAGTTTGTTTAAATAAATATTTCTTTTATTTTTATATTCACCATTGGTTCTATCTACTTCTTTACTTTGATAACTGTTTGTTAATGGTTTCTTCTTTTCCATTTCTTGTAAGATTTCTAAAATATTCTTATTCTGTTCTAAAACCTTGTTCAGTTTTTACCCATCTTTTCTAATCCTTCATCCATGTAAATATATATATATATTATATTATAAAATAAAACTTTTAAAACTAAATGTTTAAATTATGTTAAATCTACTCTTTAAATACTAACTTATGTCCCTATTAAAACTAACATTAATCAAATGTTCGTTAGTTTCTACTACCATATCACCGCCAGTTTTTTTCTTAATATTCAAATCTTTATCCGATTTTTTATAAGAAAACATGCATGGAACACAACTAACCTTAACACCATCCTTTTTATCTACCGTCAATTCATTCTTAAAATTCATAACATGGTTACATTTATCACATTTTATAGCTTTACTTTCACCCTTTGATTTAACACTTTCCGTTGTTTCTTTCCGTGCTTCAATATCTGGCATTGGTCTTTCTTTGCCTTTACTCTTTTTCTTCCTTCCCATTGATATTAAGATTTACATTCTTATTTTTGATATATTGTATCACAAACTTAATTAATTCTAAAACAAAATAACATATTTTTTTACATCTATTATCAGTTATAACAACTTGTTCTATATTCTCTACTTCATCTATTATATTGATATAATCTGAATAGCTTCTATTCATATAAAATAATCAATATAAAATATTTTCTAAATAACTTTAATATTATTTTATTATGTCAGATGTTCCAATAATAAAGCCAATAAAACATAACTGAATATGAATTCAAACAACCTAAATATGAGCACGTGCCAAAATTACCATTTAGAAGTATTATAGTTGCGAGTTCGACAGGTGGCAAAACAGTCTTGGTTCAGAACCTTATCTTAAATGTTTATAGAAATTCATTTGCAAGAATATTTATATTTTCCCCCAGCGTTCATAATGACCCAACCTTTACAGAAGTTAAAAAAATATATCAGGGATGAATTGCACGTGGATGATGAAAAAGAACAAATTTATTTTGATAACTATAATCCAAGTGATTTAGAAAATGTAATTGAAAGACAGAAGAAAATTATTAATTATATGAAATCTAAAAAGATAAAGAAACTACATTCAATATTAATCGTTATAGACGATCATGCCGACGATCCTAAATTTGTTAGATATAGTAAATTATTACATGGAGTATTTACAAGAGGTAGGCACGATGCAGTAAGCGTACTTTGTTCAACACAAAAATACAATGTTTTGGCGCCTATCATTCGTTTAAATGCCAGTTCATTATATATTTTTAGGTTGAAAAATGCCAGTGAATTAATGAGTTTTATTGAAGAAAATAGCGCCATTGTTGACAAACAGCAATTATTAGATATGTATCATCAAGCCGTTAATGACGCACCTTATAGTTTCTTCTACGTGAATATGAATGCTAAGAATGTGAATGACATGTTTTTTCTCCGTTTTGAACAGGCATTTCAAATTACAAATGATGAATAAAGATATTCTAATTTAATATAATATAATAATATGCCAATGAAACTATGTAGATGTGGTGGATTTTATCGTAGAGGTAATTACAATTTTCATACTAATTCTTGGATACATAAACTTTATAAAGTGTTAAAAAGACGACCAACAGACGAGGAATTATTAAGATTTCAAAATAATTTTGTTGATGAAGAAGATGTAATAGATGATATGTGTAGCAACGCCTCAACAAAATTACCCGAAAGTGAAATGACAGATTATGATAGTAATTAATAATATTAATGTATGTTAATATTATCAATTTAGAATAAAGAATAGCTACATAAATTTAAGGCAGGAAATTTATAATATATTTTATCTTTTTTACATTCATTAACTTTTTCTAATTTATTTATTATTGCTTTCAATGAATTTATTTGTAGAATATCAATTCTTGACATTTCACTTATCGTATTTACATCTATATCTTTTATTACTTTAATAGCCTCTTCATCATCAATTTCTACTGGTTTTGATTTACTTGAACCCATTATATATAATATTATTTAGATTTTAATTTTTCAAAATTATCTTTTTGTTTTTCTTCTCCGTCTTCTTCTTCGTCTTCAGTTGGTGCTGGTATTTCTGTTGGACTTTCAGATGAAGAACTATGGACAGTAATAGGTGGAGAACTATGAACACTAATAGCTTCATTTGATGAATTGCTACTGCTACCTTGTGCATTTCCTGCTGTTATTTGATTAACTAAATCTGCGATATTTATGTTGTTGCAATTGCGCTATGTGATAAGTTTAATATTATATCTGCTACTGTAGCGCCGTTGTGTAGCATTATTTCTATCATTTTTGTCAGTTTGAACTTCTTTTCTTCTTCATCGCTGTCCTCCTCGTCTGGTGGTTTCTTTGGCGGTGGTTCTGGCGGTTTGTTGTTGTCAAGCATTGTAGTAAAGGCTGACACCATTGCGTCGCGTTGGTTTTTCAGGGTTTGTGTTGCTTGCGTTCTTGTTGGTTCATGTCTTTTGTATGCGTTGTGCCAAAAGTTTTTAAGCATTATTTTAAACATATTGTCTTGGTTTTCCTTTACCTTAAACGCTTCAAATGTCATATTTAATTGCTGATTTGCATCATTGTATAACTTTTCTTGCGTCTCTCTGGTTTCTGTTGCAATTGTATCTGTATTGGTTGCAATGTCAATAAATTCTCTCGGTATGCCTTTTTTCATCATTTTCGGTGGTTGTATTGTTGTTGGTGTGTTTGGTTTTGTTAGGTTATGTGTTGAAAAACTGTCGTCGTGATCATAATTATCATTGAACTTCTGCTTCTTTCTTTTCAGTATATTTTT